TTTTATTCTATAAGTATACTTAGTTCACATTTGTCTTCCCTCTAGAGATTTGACCCTCACACCTCTGGACTACAGAGAGGATTACATATGCTCAGAAAATCAGAACTGAATACATACAAGGGTTAAGAAATGTTCACTTGTTAAAATAGCCTCCACTTCTTCCTTTGGTCTTCCTAAAGAACAAATTTTTAGTTAGTTCTAAAAATTATAGCAGAATTCAAACTATTCATCAAACTAACTTTTTAAAATCTGATACAAAGTTTTATTTGTTCATTTCTTGCATTTGAAGGAATCTTTGATGACATACTGGGCCTGAGATTCTTTGCCATAGTCATTAACTACTACACAACCACAACCAACTTCTTTATAGGGTATTCCCTCTCTGTCAATTTTAGAGAGCCCTACCCACTTCCTGGCTGCTTGTTGTCATCAACCTTAATTAGGTTAATCGGGTGTTAGCACAAAGGGCCGCCATCAACTTGGCATACAAAGGCTCATCACAGATGGAAGCAAGCACACAAACATGAGCTTGGCACTCGACTAAAGCTTGGCCAGCTTCACAGATTCCACTAATAGGCTACTGTGCATGAGGGTGGTCTTCAGAACCTCTTATAAAGCAGTAGCAGTGTTAACATCCATTACATCTCCAATAACAATGCCCTTCTACCACAGCAGTGGGTTCAGCTGAGAACACACTCAAGCCTTTGCTTCCACAAGACTTGTTGGTAGAAGGCAAAGAGACATCAAAATAATGTACGTCTTCACTTTATAATTTACAAATTATTACTATAATGAACTGAAAATTCTGACCTGAAAATCTGGCATTATACCAGCAATTTTTTCTCACAATCTCATTCATTATTCCTAGCCCTCATTATTAGATATATTATATACTGTCTACTTTATAGAACAATTACTGATATTTTATGACTGTGTAAAGCAACATTTTTCCTGTCACTTTCTAAAATTCTAAGACTTATTCTACATTAGTCTTTTAGAAACTGAATTCATGTTGATTTTTCTATACTCATAATCTATTGATAAACCATGAATTATAATATTGCTTTCTAAGCATTCATCCTTTCAAGCCTAACAGCCTTTATACTAAAAAGCAAATTAACACAGGCAATATAATTGTAGCTTGCAATATTCAGATAACTAAAACTTGGAAGAAAAAATAAATTTCCTTAGAAGTAAAGCAAATTCAGTTACTCATTTCATACATTTCTATGGTCAATGGGCTTAGAAATAAAATCATTAGACACGAAAATATACCTTCTGGTATTAAATTGGAATTAAAGGTACCAGTAAAGATGGAGAGACCAACGAATGATAAAAACATATGGGCAGACGTATGGAAGTGTATGTGTTTGTAAGCATCTTCCAGCTTAATTCACTAAGAAGCTCAGAAGCAATATTACCCCAGTAGAAATGAGCACACATCTACCCAGATCTTGATGCTCAAACACTATTCCTCTCGTAAAAAAAAAAAAAGTTTGCCTTGATAAGTAGCTGATTCCAAGATTGGGGTAGGGAAGGTTCAAAATGAGCTTGGAATATCTTTTATTACAGAAGTTCACAAAAAATGAAGGAGACATGTCAAAATGACATAGCACTGCAAACGAATCCATAATGACAAACCTGATCTATGATTACACAGGACTAGGGCAGAAAAAGAAATGGAATTCAAAAAGCATGAGCAGTATTTTTGGGGTAATGGAAATATTCTGTACATGTTTTCATAGGTTTATACATCTATCAAACTTATCAGATTACGTATTTTAAAGGGACACAGTTTACTGTATATAAATTATATATCCAATAAAGTTGATTTTTTTTTTTAAGTCATGGAAGTTAGCCTGAAGGAATTCCCACTAGCCAAATCATACAGTTAACCAAATAAGTAATACTAATAATAAACTGATATCTAATGAATAAAACAGAACTTTCTGGTGAGTCCACACTGATAAATAGATAAACTGGAGAAAGAGAAGTTTTTCTTTAGAGTAAAATATCAAGTAAGACACATAAAAGGGATGATGGTGTTAGAAAAATCATCATTTTTGGCAACAATTATAGTAACAACTATTTGGGTAAACTTTACCCATGATGCTAAAACTGTTGAGTGAAAGTCTGATGAGGAACAGCATATTTACATAGTCTCAAAGTATCTCTCCATAAAACAGTTATTAACACCATAAGGAGAAAAACAGTAAACGTACAGTGGCAGCACAGCTGTAACTAAATTTATGATAAAATTTTAAACAAATTTAACATCCCCAATAAAAAAAGACATGGACACTATGTGCCTCCAAATATTACATAAGACATCGTCACTCCATAGTCCTGCTAATAAAATATAACCTGAATCTAATCATGAGAAATCAGAGGTGAAAAAAAAGAACCCAAACTGGGGCCATTTCACAAAATAATCAGCCTAAACTCTTCAAAAATGTGAACGTAAAGAAAACAAAACACGCATACACACACACACACACACACACACACGGAGACAATTACAGATTTAAGAAACACGGGAAATAAATTTCATGTATAATCCTCTTCAGGACTGGGAGAAAAAAAAACAGCTATAAAGAACACATAATGAAATAATAAAAAATATGCGCATGGAGACTGCAGAATAAGCAATATTATCAGTATTGTCTTGATTTTCATAACTGTACTGTAGTTACATAAGAAACTAACTTTATTCTTGGGAAATGCACATTGAAACACTAAAAATAAAAGATAAAATATAGATATTTAGATAAAGACAAAGTGAATGATAAATTAGCAAATGCAGTGAAATGTTAAAAATTCATAAATCTGGATAAGGTCTGTTTTATTTTTATAATTTTTCTCCAAGTTAAAAAAACAAGTTTCAAAATAAATCACTGCACTAGCGTTAGAAGGATGGACCCAGAGGTGAGTACTGTAATAGTATGAAAATGTACAGAGGAATGGGATCCAAAAGCCCAAATTCTTAGAAGTTCTGGTTCCAAGAAAGATAAGAATATAAAATAATATGTAAATCATGACTTACTCTTAGGTTTCTCTACTATAAGATGAGGAGGTTGTACCAGAACTTTCTAGCTCTATAGCTAGATTTTTATGAACTTGTTCTATCACTTCATGGTCTTTTTTACCACAGTAAAAGCCTGGCTCTTCTGCAGGCCCAATACTTTCTTAAGAGACAGTGGGGGAAAAGCTGCACAAATCATTCATGTACAAAGAAAGTATAATTATGGATGAGGACAAAAGTGTCAGGGAGCTTAGCAAAGTTTAAAGTGGTGGAATGAGAAACACAGAACATTAACTTTAGTAATAATCTTAACAATGATTTCTAGAAGTCTTTTATCAATTATGTTTAATACAATCATGTATTAAATTTTAAAATATTATCTCCCTTTTTTCTCTAAAATTCATTTTCTAGGCCAGATGTGTTGGCTCACATTTATAATCCCAGCACTTTGGGAGGCTGAAGTAGGGGAACTACTTGAAGCTAAGAGTCTGAAACCTGCTAGTGAGACCCCATCTCTAAAAAAATTTTTTTTAATTAGCTGTGCATGGTGATACATGTCGGCAGTCCCAGCTACTCAGGAGGCTGAGAAGAAAAGAATCACTTGAGCTCTAGAGGTTAAGGCTGTAGTTAACTATGATCATGTCACTGCACACTGGCCTTGGCAACAAGGAAAGACACTGCCTGTTAAAAAAAAAAAAAAATTGTACAATATAGATAGACCACCAGCCAGACTAATAAAGAAGAGAGAAGAATCAAACAAACACAATAAAAAAATGATAAACAGGAGATCACCACTGATCGCACAGAAATACAAACTACCATCAGAGACTACTAGAAACACCTCTATGCAAATAAACTAGAAAATCTAGAAGAAATGGATTAATTCCTGGACACATATACCTTCCCAAGACTAAGCCAGGCAGAAGTTGAATCCCTGAATAGACCAATAGTAAGATCTGAAATCGAGGCAGTAATTAATAGCCTACCAACCAAAAAATGCCCAGAAACAGACAGATTCACAGCCAAATTCTACCAGAGGTATAAAGAGGAGCTAGTACCATTCCTTTTAAAACTATTCAAACCAAAGAAAAAGAGGGACTCTGCCCTAACTCATTTTATGAGGCCAGCATCATCCTGATACCAAAACCTGGCAGAGACACAACAAAAAAAATTTCAGGTCAATATCCCTGATGAACATGGATGCAAAAATCCTCAATAAAATATCAGCAAACCAAATCCAGCAGCATATTAAAAAGCTTTTCCACCATGACCAAGTCAGCTTCATTCCTGGGATGCAAGGCTAGTTCAACATACACAAAGCAATAAATGTAATCCATGACATAAACAGAACCAACGATAAAAACCACGATTATTTCAATAGATGTAGAAAAGGCATTCAATAAAATTCAACATGCCTTCACACTAAAAACACTCAATAAACTAGGTACTGATGAAACATATCTCAAAATAAGAGGAGTTATTTATGATAAACCCACAGCAAATAGCAGAGGCAAAACCTGGAAGTATTCCCTTTGAAAACTGGCACAGGACAAGGTTACCCTCTCTCGCTACTCCTATTCAAACATAGTGTTTTCTATATTCAATGTAGAAAACAAGAAAAGTAAGATCGCTTCTTATTTCTAAAATTTCCGAAGTACTCAACAGGCCATTTGCAAACTGAGCAGACTAAAAACACATGTATCTTTACTAGGAAGAAATCAGATAACCTAAGACGAATCATGAGCGTACTGAAGATTTACTTAAGGTTAAAGCAGAAATCAGAGAAAGAAAAATATTAAATTATTTGACTAGATATTTAGTTTAGTTTAGGTCCCCAACATAATTTACTTTTTTAAAGTAGATTAATTGAAGCTGACTGAAAGTTCAAAAGAACAGAGTTTCAAAAAAATACAAAATAAAACACTAGATGATATATAAAGTTTATTTAAATCAATTAAAATTTTGAAAAATAGTCTACCTGAATCATCCTGGGATTCATGAGTTTCACCATCATCTGTTACCTCTAATTCTTTCACAAAATTTGAGGGAAACAATCCCAACTTGTTGTTTAGGGTTCCACTCCACCAGCCTTCTTCTACCTGAAAAAGTTCACAATTCAAAAGTAATAAAAACTTCTGTTAATTGAAAATCTTTACTCTACGGGAAAATTAAGTTACAAAAGCAAATGAACACAAAATTAGCACTGTGAAACCCTTTAAAATTTAAAACACAATGTAGAAAATATATTTTAAGTGTATTAAATTTTAGTGGATTATTCTTATATGGGATTAACCATATATTAACAGCACTTTGCAACATTTACAACGAGAATTTGCAATCAAGCACAATCTATGAAATACTTTTCATGCAAGTATCAGATAACCAAATATACTTTATTAACAGCAAGAAGTACATAGCTTCTTCAGGAATGTCACTTTTGTAAACATTGCTGAGTCTTAATTTGTATATTATTTAAAGTATCTGGAAATATTTGATTTGAAAAAAAATTAATGACTACATAAGAATGTAACTTCCTGGCCAGGCATAGTGGCTCGGGTCTGCAATCCCAGCACCCTGAGAGGCCAAGATGGGCAAACTGCTTGACCAGGAGTTTAAGAGCAGCCTGGGCAAGATGGTAAAATCCTTTATCTTAAAAAAAAAAATAGGAAAATTATCTGGGCAAGGTGGTTCCCGCCTATAATCCCAGCTACTGAAGCGGGTGAGCCTGACTCTGCCACTGGACTCCAGCGTGGGTTAAAACAGAGGAGACCCTGTCTCAAAAAAAAAAAAAAGAAAAGAAATATAATTTCCCAAATGGCACAGAAAATTGCTAAACCTACTAAACAGTGATTCTTAAGTATAATAATTTCCTACTTTAAAAAACCCAGATGTCAATCAAACACTTTAGAAAAACATTTATACTTACTAATATGATTACTCCGTTTCCATGAATTTATTTAATCTTTAATAACTATAAAAATGTATAGTTTCTGATAAGGCTATTAAGGAGTGCTTACAGGTTAAAAACAATTTTTCAGGCCAGGAGCAGTGGCTCACACCTATAATACCAGCACTTTGGGAAGCCAAGGCAGGCAGATCACCTGAGGTCAGGAGTTTGAGACAAGCCTGGCCAACATGGTAAAACCCATCTCTACTAAAAATACAAAAAAAAAAAAAATTAGCCAGGTGTGGTGGTGCATGCCTGTAGTCCCACCTACATGGGAGGCTAAGGCAGGAGAATTGCCTGAACCTGGGAAGTGGAGGTTGCAGTGAGCTGAGATCACACCACTGTTCTCCACCCTGGGCAACAGAGTGAGACTCCATCTCAAAAAAAAAACCAAAACCAAAAATTTTTTTTAAAAAGAATAAACTATTCCGTGTGAAAATGTACTTACCCAAACTACACACAATATATAGAAAAAGATATTGTTTTTGTTTAAAGTATTTTTAATTGTTTTTCATCTCATACAAGGTAGGCAAGCTTTTACTAAGTTATTCATCTAACAGGCATTATGTGTAACCCATGGCGTTAACTAGGGAACTTGCATATGAGAAATCCCTGTTCTTCAATAAAACACCCAAAGAAAAAACAAACAATAAGCAGATAGCTATGATACAATGCAAGAGGTACTATAACTAAAGTATGAACAAAATGCTGTTAGAAACACACAGAAAGGGCTTGAAAGAATCAAAAAATGCTCCCCTGGCTGGCACAGCAGCTTATACCTGTAATCCCAGCACATCAGGAGACCAAGGCGGGAGATCATCTGAGGTTGGGAGTTGAAGACCAGCCTGACCAACACAGAGAAACCACATTTCTACTGAATAAAAAAAAAAAAAAAATTACAGGCACATGCCTATAATCCCAGCTACTTGGGATTCTGAGGCAGGAGAATTACTTGAACCTGGGAGGCAGAGGTTGCGGTGAGCTGAGATTGTGCCATTACACTGCAGTCTGGGCAACAAGAGTGAAACTCCATCTCAAAAAAAAAATGCTCCCATGAAAGGAAAGGACCAAAAAAATGTGATATTAAAGGCTAAATAAGAGTAAAAATATAGTGACTTAAAAATAAATGATTCATGGAAGGTACAGCTAAAATACAAAGTGGCTGCTAGAATACAAGCTGTCTGAAGGAGAAAAAGAAGGTAGTAAAGCAGTAAAGTGTGAAGCAATCAGAATTTTTATCAGACTTAAGTAAAGAAGTACCAAAGAACTGGAAGTTATCCAAACTAAATGAGATGGAAGATATGTAGACCAAGCTAGAATGCATACAACAAAGGGAGAGAAACATCAGCTGTCTATTATCTATACCTGAAACCCCAATTGGCAGCAACTGAGGAGTTAGGATTATTTAAAGAATTCTTAGGAGGCAGAGTAGTCCAGTGCGGGGGCGGGGTGGGGGGGGACCTGAAAAACAGACTGCATGACAATTTGCAACTGCAAAAATATAGAACCAGCCCAAATGCCTATCAACAAGTGAATAAAGAAATTGTGACATATATACACACACTAATACCATGGAATACTACTCACTACTAACTCAGGAATGGAAAACCAGTCATCATATGTTCTCACTCATATGTGAGAGCTAAGCTATGAGGATGCCTGGACTTTGTAAACAGGGGAAAAGGATGGGAGTGGCAAGGGATAAAAGATTACACATTGGGTACAGTGTGCACTGCTCAGGTGATGGCTGCACTAACATCTCAGAAATCAACACAAAAGAATATATTCATCTAACCAAACACCACCTGTTCCCCAAAAACCTATTGAGATAAAAGAATTAAGAAATTTTTAAAAGAAAAAAAAATAGACTGCAATAATTGAAATTCAGACTTAGATGGCTGCAAGATCTCTCATCCCACAACTGTGACCTTGACACTCCTCCCACCCAGAAGTGATGGTCTCAGTTCCCTACTCCTTAAATCTTGGTGGCTTATGACCCACTTGTAACCAACAGCTCGTAGACTGTAAAAGGCAATAAAGTTAACACCACATATGCTAAACTGCTTGGCATTTAAGAGCCATGAACTGCCATATAATAGTTCCAATGATTTTGAGATGCCCAAACTGTACGAAAGGCAACCAAAATGGAAAGTCTAACATAATGGCTCTCCAATTGGCAGTTACAGTCGTCAAGGCTTCTAGGCACCAGACATGAGAATGAAAGAAACTTCCTACTATTCCAAGAGTCGCCAGCATTGAATCTTTCCAGCTGAGGGCCCCAGACAAGTCATCCAGGCTATGCTCCATTTGAATTCTTGACTCACAGAAATAATACAACCATTGTTTTTTGCCACCAAGTTTGGAGTGGCTTGGTATGCAGCAACAGTAACCAAAACAGCCACCACTCATCTTCCATGATTCAGTCTCTTCCTATGTACAATAGGGATAAAAATATCTATCTTCTTAGGTTTTTTAAAACTTCCAAGTATATAATAAATAGAAAACTTTCAGCATAGTGCTTCAAACATAACATAAGCTCAAGAAATGTTAACTATTATTACTGCTACCAAGTAAAAATAAAATAGAACACCCTTTGGATAAACACAATCGAAGTTTGTATAAACATAAACATCAGTGATTTACAGGGTGTTTTGACACAAAATCAATCCATGTTACAATACATGATATCAAAACATACCTGTTAAAAATGATCTTCAACTGTGAAATTAAGCTTTAAAATTTTTATCAAATGATAAAAGCAGAGATGTGAAAAATTATTTTAAAATTTTTTTCCATTTTTTCATTTCCATAGATTATTGGGGGTGAACTGGTGGTGTTCGGTTACATAAGTAAGTTCTTTAGTGGTGATCTGTTGAGATTTTGGTGCACCCATCACCTGAGGAAAATACACTGCAACCAGTTTGTAGTCTTTTATCCCTCACCCCTTCTTACCCTCTGCCCCTGTGGCCCCAAAGTCCATTGTGTCATTCTTATGCCTTTGCATCCTCATAGCTTAACTCCCACCTATAACTGAGAACATACAATGTTTGGCTTTCCATTCCTGAGATACTTCACTTAGAATAATAGTCTCCAGTCTCATTCAGGTCGCTACAAATGCCATGAATTCATTCCTTTTTATGACTGAGTAGTATTCCATCGTACACATATATACCACAGTTTCTTTATCCACTCACTGACTGATGGGCACTAGGGCTGTTTCCACATATTTGCAATTGTGAATTGTACTGCTATAAACATGCATGTGCAAGTACCTTTTTCATATAATGACTTCTTTTCCTCTGGGATTGTAGTGTGATTGCTGGATTAAATGGTTGTTCTACTTTTAGTTCTTAAATGAATCTCCACGGTGTTTTCCATACTGGCTGTGTAAATATACATTCCCACCAGCAGTATAGAAGTGCTCCCTGTTTACCACATCCATACCAGCATCTTGTTATTTTTTTATTTTGGCCATTCTTGCAAGACTAAGGCAGTATCACGTTGTGGTTTTGATTTGCATTTCCCTGATAATTAGTGATGTTGAGCATGTCTTCATACGTTTGTTGGCCATTGCGTACCTTCTTTTGAGAATTGTCTATTCATGTCCCTAGCCTACTTTTGGATGGATTTTATTTTCTTGCTAATTTGTTTGAGTTCATTGTAGATTCCGGATATTAGTCCTTTGTCAGATGTATAGATTGTGAAGATTTTTTCCTAGTCTGTGGCTGGCCTGTTTATTCCACTGACTGCTCCTTTTGCTGTCCAAAATCTCTTTAGTTTAATTAGGTCATAGCTATTATCTTTATTTTTACTGCATTTGTTTTGGGTTCTGGCCACGAAATCCTTACAAAGTCAATGTCTAGAAGGGTTTTTCCAATGTTATCTTTGAGAATTTTTATAGTTTCAGGCCTTAGATTTAAGTTCTTGATGGACCTTGAGTTGATTTTTGTATAAGGTGAAAGATAACGATCCAGTTTCATACTCCTACCTGTGGCGTGCCAATTATTCCAGCACCATTTGTTGAAAAGGGTGTCCTTTCCCCATTTTGGTTTGCTTTATCAAAGATCAATTGGTTTTAAGTATGTAGGTTTATTTCTGGGTTCTCTATTCTGTTCCATTGGCCTATGTACCTATTTTTATACCAGTACCATGCTGTTTTGGTGAGTATGGCCTTAGAGTATAATTTGAAATCAGGTAATGTGAGGTCTCCAGATTTGTTCTTTTTGCTTTGGCTATGGGGGCTCTTTCTTGGTTCCATATGAATTTTAGGATTGTTTTTTCTAATTCTGTGAAGAATGATGGTGTTATGTTGATAGAAATTGTGTTGAAGTTGTAGATTGTTTTTAGCAGTATGGTCATTTTCACAATATTAATTCCACCCATACATGAGCATGGGACATATTTTGCATTTGTTTGTGTCATCTATGATTTCTTTCAGCAAGGTTTTGTAGTTTTCCTTATAGTGGTCTTTCAACTCCTTGGTTACTTGGTTAGGCATATTTGCAAATATCTTTTTTTTTTTTTTTTTTTTTTTTAGCTATTGTAAAAGGGGTCAAGTTCTTGATTTGATTCGATTCTCCACATGGTTGCTGTTGGTATATAAAAGAGCTACTCATTTGTGTACATTAATTTTGTATCTGTGAACTTTGCTATATTATTTTATCAGTTTTAGGAGCTTTCTGAAGGAGTCTTTAGGGTTTTCAAGATAAACAATCATATCATCAGCAAACAGAGACAGTTTGGCTTCCTATCTACTGATATGGATGCCCTTTATTTACTTCTCTTGTCTGACTGCTCTTGCCAGGACTTCCAGTACTATGTTAAGAGAGGTGTTAAGAGCAGGCATTCTTGTCTTGTTCCAGTTCTCAGAGGGAATGCTTTCCACTTTTCCCCATTCAGTATTATGTTGGCTGTGAGTTTATCATAGATGGCTTTTATTACACTGAGGTATGTTCCTTGTATGCCAATTCTGCTGAGAGTTTAAATCATAAAGTGATGCTAGATTCTATGTAATGCTTTTTCTGCATCTATTGAGATGATCATGTGATTTTTATTTCTAATTCTGTTTGTGTAACGTATCACATTTACTGCCTTGCATATGTTAAACTATCCCTGAATCCCTGATATGAAACCCACTTGATCATGGTGCATTCTTTCTTTCCTATGTTGTTGGATTCAGTTAGCTAGTACTTTGTTAAAGATTTTGGCATCTATGTTCATCAGGAGTATTGGTCTGTAGTTTTTTTTTGTTATATCCTTTCCCAGTTTGGTATTAGGGTAGTACTACCTTCACAGAATGATTTAAGAAGGGTTCCCTTTCTCCATCTTGTGAAATAGTGTCAACAGGATTGGTACCAATTTCTTTAACGTCTGGTCATGAACTTTTTTTGTTGGAGATTTTTAAATTACCATTTCAATCTTGCTGCTTGTTACTGTTCTGTTCAGGGTATGCAATTCTTCCTTATTTAATCAAGGAGGGTTTTATCTTTCCAGGAATTCAGCCATCCCCTCTAGGTTTTCTAGTTTATGCGCAGGAAATGCTCATAGTAGCCTTGAATAATCTTTTGTATTTCTGTGGTATCAGTTGTAATATCTCCTGCTTTGTTTCTAATTGAGCTTATTTGGATTTTCTCTCTTCCTTTCTTGGTTAATCTTGCTAACAGTCTATCGATTTTATTTATGTTTTCAAAGAACAAGCTTTTTCTTTCATTTATCTTTTGTAATTTTTGTTTCAGTTTCACTTAGTTCTGCTCTGATCTTGGTTATTTCCTTTCTTCTGCTGAGTTTGGGTTTGTTCTTCTTTCTCTTGCTCCTTGAGGTGTGACCTTAGATTGTCAGCTTGTGCTCTTTCACACTTTCTGATGTAGGCACTTAGGGCTATTAACTATCCTCTTACTATCTTCTTTGCTGTATCCCAGAGGTTTTGAAAGGTGTGCCACTACTGTTAAGAAAAATTTTTTAATTTCCATCTTGATTTCATTTTTGACCCAATGATCATTCATTTAATTTCCATGTATTTGCATGATTTTGAAGGTTCCTCTTGGAGTTGATTTCCAGTTTTGTTCCACTGTGGTCTGAAGGAGTGCTTAATATAATTTCAGTTTTTTAAAATTTGCTGAGGCTCATTTTGTCACCTATAATATGATCTATCTTGGACAAAGAACATGTGCTGTTGAATAGAATGTATATTCTGTGGTTGTGTAGAATGTTTTGTAAATATCTGTTAAGTCCATTTGTTCCAGGGCATAGTTTAAATTCATTGTTTGTTTGTTGACTTTCTGTCTTCATAACCTGTCTAGTGCCATCAGTGGAGTAAATATCTGTTAAGGCCATTTGTTCCAGGGTATAGTTTAAATTCATCATTTCTTTGTTGACCTGTCTAGTGCCATCAGTGGAGTATTGAAGTCCCCCAATTTTACTATCTCTTTCTTAGGTCTATTAGTAATTGCTTTATAAATTGAAGAGCTTCAGTGTTAGGTGAATATATATTTAGGATTGTGATATTTTCCTGTTGAACACGGCCTATCATTATATAATGCCCATCTTTGTCTTTTTTAACTGCTGTTGATTTAAAGTTTGTTTTGTCCAATATAAGAACAGCTACTCCTGCTCGCTTTCGGTGTCTATGTGCATGAAATGTCTTTTTTCACACTTTTACCTTAGGTTTAGTAGTTATCTGTTAGGTGAGTCTCCTGAAGGCAGCAGATGATTGTTGGATTCTTCTCCATTCTGTAATTCTGTATCTTTAAAGTGGAGCATCTAAGCAATTTACATTCAACATTAGTATTGAGTTGTGAGGTACTACTCCATTCATTGTGGTATTTATTGCCTGTGGTATTTACCTTGGTTTTTTTTGCTTCTGGTTTTTGCTTTTTAACTTGTATTTTTGTTTTATAGGTCCTGTGAGATTTATGTTTTAAAAGGGTTCCGTTTTGATGTGTTTCCAGAATGTATTCAAGATTTAGAGCTCCTTTTAGCAGTTCTTGTAGTACTGGCTTGGTAGTGGCAAATTCTCTCAGCATTTGTTTATCTGAAAAAGACTATGCTTCCTTCATTTATGAAGCTTAGTTTTGCTGGATACAAAATTCTTGGCTGATACTTGTTTTGTTGACCCACAAGATAGGACCCCAATCCCTTCTAGATTGTAGGGCTTCGGCTGAGAAATCTGCTGTTAATCTGATAGGTTACCTGGTACTTTTGCCTCACAGCTCTTAAGATTCATTCTTCTTAACTTTAGACAACCTGATGACAACATGTCCAAGCGATAATCCTTCTGGTATAAATTTCCCAGGTGTTCTTTATTGAGCTTCTTGTATTTGGATGTCTAGGTCTCTAACAAGACTGAGGAAGGTTTCCTGATTATTCCCCCAATAAACTTTAAAAAATTTTTAGATTTCTCTTCTTCCTCAGGAAGGCAGATTATTCTTAGGTTTCTTCATTTAACATAATCCCAGACTTCGTGGAGGCTTGGTTCATATTTCCTTATTCTTTCTTAGTTGGACTGAGTTAATTCAAAAACCTTGTCTTCAAGCTCTGAAGTTCTTTCTTCTGCTGGTTCAATTCTATTGCTAAGACTTCCCAGAGCATTTTGCATTTCTGTAAGTGCATCCATTGTTGCCCAAAGTTTTGATTACTTTTTACTTATGCTATCTGTTTCATTGAATATTTCTCCCTTCACTTCTTCTATCATTTTTTTTTATTTCATTACATTAGGCTTCACCTTTCCTTGGTGCCTCCCTGATCAGCTTAATAACTAACCTTCTGAATTCTTTTTCGGGTAAATCAGGGATTTTTTTCTTGCTTTACATTCCTTGCTGATGAGCTAGTGATTATGGGGGATATTAAAGAACTTTCTTTTGTCGTATTATCAGAGTTGGTTTTCTGATTCCTTCTCATTTGGGTAAGCTCTGTCAGAGGTAAGTGGAGGGCTCAAGACTGTTCAGATTTTCTCTGTCCCATGGGGTGTTCCTTTATGTAGTACTCTCCCCCTCTTCCTAGAGAAGTGGCTTCCTAAGAGTCAAACTGTAGTGATTATATCTCTTTTGTATCTAGCCACGCAGCAAGTCTACCAGGCTCCAGGCTGGTACCAGGGGTTGTCTGCATGGAGTTCTGTAATGTGAACCATCTGTAGGTCTCTCAGCCATGGATACCAGCACCTGCTCTGGTGGACATGGCAGGGCAGAAGGCAGAGGGGAGGGGTTGAAATGAACTCTGTGAGGCTCCTTAGCTTTGGTTGTTTAATGCACTATTTTTGTGCTGGTTGGCCTCCTGCTGGGAGGTGGCACTTTCTCAAGAGAGCATCAGCTGTGTAGTATGGGAAGGAACAGGTGGTAGGTAGGGCCTTAGAACTCCCAAGAGTATATGCCCTTTGTCTTCAGTTACTAGGGTGGGTAGGGAAGGACCATTAGGTGGGGGCAGGGCTAGACATGTCTGATCTCAGATTCTCCTTGCATGGGTCTTGCTGCGACTAAGTATTTGGGGCATCTCCCAGGTCCTGCAGGAGCAAATGGCTTCCTGTGAGTTCTCTTGGCTTTCCTAATATATTCCTAAAGTGGTTCTGGAGCAAAAGTTCATATGTAAGCCTCCATATGCTGCTCTGTCTATCCCAGCAGAAGCTGCAATCTAGTCCTGCCTCCTGTCCACCATGATTTCTCTATTTTTTAAATATTTTAAAATCCCATTCTAAGATATCAAAATGTAGGAAAGCATTTTTATTAATATTTGAATGTCATAATTCAAACAAGGCAAAGCTTTTCAAAAGATTTTGGTTTGTATTCCTTTATTACACAAAAGGCAAAATTGCTTCTATTTTACTGTTTTGTGCCTATGGTAAATTCAGAATCAAAGAAAAGGCTTGTTTATGTTCTTAACTACTTAGATTACATTAATTTTTAGCTTTAAAGGGGCATTTCTATTCCTAAAGGCAGCAAACACAAATACATACATAATACAGCAAGGATGAGTAAAGAAACTTTATACCTCATAATTTTATTTTATTTTTAAAGTGACAAAAGTTCTCACAAAAGACTAATATTCTTACAATTAATTTTTCTAGAATACAGAGAGCATCAATTACCATTGCTACTTTATCTATAACACATTTTTTCCTTACCTCTTCATTAATATCAATAATATCTCCCACTTTCAGCTCCAGTTCATCCTCATTTTGTGGAATATACTCAAAAAGAACTTTACACTGACGCTTCTTGGTCTCTAAAGAAAGTAACATAATTAGAAATTAGATAAAGAAAAATCATTTTTAAAAACAGTATCTGTATTTACATGCCATGTTTATAGTTATATAAGTAAATAAAAACTGAACATATGAGCATTCTAAACAGCTAATAACAATCAGACACAGTTGGTTTTTTTACCCCAACCCCATACTACAATGTATTCATACACAAATAAATTCAACTTCAAATAGGGTAAGGCTTCAGGAAATAGAATCTGCTTACATATTTTATCCCACCAGTTACACAAAAGCAAAATATCCAAACACCCATCACCATTTTGAGACTAAAAAAACAGACAATAAAAGACACTTTTGGCACAACAAATTCACCACAGACAAGTCCTCGAGGTTAGTGATTTTCAGACTACTTCTTAATCAGGTCTGGGAATACTACTTAAAAATTAGTACTTTTACAACTGTCTGCGGAAAGAAGCAGCAAGATGTACAAATCTCCAATGTATTTTATCTTCTTTAATAACTATTTTCAGACAGCTAAAAATCAAACTCACTTATGTAAAGATAATTTTACTTTAGCTTTTCAAACAAACTTCAATTATTCAGAAATGATCATTTATAACCATTCAGACTTGTGTTCTCAATCTTTTTCAAGCTCTAAGAACAGGCTCACTCCCATCTTTAAAAGTGAATCATTAAGCAGCTATGGGTAAATGACCAGGTATAGTTGATTACTTCTTGGTAGTCAAAGTGTGTTTCTTACACCAGCAGCAACAGTACAACTTGGGAGCTTGTGAGATATGTACTATCTCCACATCTACTTGTTGGGAACTGAATAAAAAGTTCCCCAAAATTCATCTACTGAAACCCTAACACCCAATGTGTTTGGCAATAAGGCCTTTGAGGAGTGGTAAATAGGACTAAATGAGGTCCTAAGGTTAAGGCCCTAATCAGATAGGACTAGTACCCTTACAAAAGAGGAAGAGACATCAGCCCATCATTGCCCTCCCCAATACAAAGAAAAGACCCAGTGAGAAAACAAAGACAGTGGTCCTCTACAAGCCAGAAAAGAGGAGTCACCAGAAACCAACCCTCGATCTTGGGGCTTCTAATCCTCCAAAACTGTAGAAGATAAATCTGTTGTTTAAGCTGCTAAGTCTGTGGCATTTGTTATGGTAGCCCTAGCAGACTGAATTTTGAATCAGAGTCTGTACTTTAAAAAGATCCCTAGGTGATTCTCAGTCTTGTACCCAATAATTCCATCACCTTGATCTTTAATTCCTTGAAAATGGCATACCCTATTCCTTCTCACATTTAAATGTATTGTTTCTTTTGTCAAGGAACTTTATTTTCATCCATGAAGCCCACCTTCAACTCATCTTCACTTCTTGGCTTAGAAGACACTTCCAAATAGCTTTCTAAATTAAATATGTTTCCTTTGTGCTACTCTAGCACCCTGTCCTTACCCCCTATTGTCTTCGGCAACCTACCCAGCACCTAGCATAGTGCCTGGCTTATTCTAGGTATCTGATATGGTCTGTGTGTGCTGCTGTAACAAAATACTTGAGACTAGGTAATAAAGATAGCACAAATTCACTTCTCACTTTTCTGGAGTCTGAGAAATCCAAGATCAAAGTGCCAGAAGATTTTATGTCTGGTGAGGGCCCTCTTGCTGTATCATCACATGGCAGAGGGGCAAAAAAGGGCCTAAGCTAGTTCCTTGCTCCTCTTTCATAAGGCACTAATTCATTCACAAGAGCATAGCCCTCATGACTTAATCATTTCTCAGAAAGACCCCACCTATTAATATCACCACAATGGAAATGAAATTTCAACATGAACTTTGGAGAGAACCATAATTCAAACCATAGCAGTATCTGCTAAATATTTTTAAATGAATTAATAAACAAATATCTAGGTCTAGTTATATGACATCAATGTCAACAAGAGTGTCAACATTCCATCAACAGCCTGTCACCAACAATCCTAACAAGATTTTTCTTAATAATTTAAATGCACACTTAAAGAACAGAAGAAGAAAACATGCACACTAAAAAAATTAGTGATAAAAATTGAATACATAATGAGATAGTAAAATAGTTAATACAAACTACAAATATTCCAAAAATTAGAAAGGACAGGTTTGAACTAGAACAGATATAGAAGGCTTCAAAGAAGTAATGATAACAGAATCATACAATGAAATATGAATAGATATAAGAAGGTGGAACAGATGTGGCAGATATTCTAGAGCAAGAAAAACAGTTTTACTAACAAAGTAGGATTTGGTGATACAAGGATTCTAAGGAAAGAGGAAAACAAAGGAGAATCCTAAGAAGTAATCTAGACAGGCAGAATTTGACTGCATCAAATTATAATCTCCAAATAAAGTCTTTGTAAAGAAAGATGCCATGCTACAACAGAAGTATCAGCTGTACTGAAAGTCAGAAGACTTATGTTCTGGTAGAGTTGTCATTATCTAGTTATTTCACTGAAAGTTTCTAGGAATCAATTTCTTGGGCCATAAAATTACAATGTGGAACTAGAAAACCACTACAGTTACTTCAGCTCTGACATTCTGTGGATCTACGAGATTGTTTATCAAGACAAAAAGTAATCTAACTGTACCCGCAAAACAACAAAAGAAGTGCATTATATGCAAACAATAGCATAGAGAGGTATAAAACAGACATAACCATCAAGTAGATAAAAGAATTGAGTCTCCAAATAAGAAAGTTCAAATAAAAAACATCTGTTTTTTTCTCCCTTATAAACTAATCGATTTCAACCTTTTATTGTAGTTTTCATAATAAAAGAAACCAAAGAAAATAAACAATGACCATAATTTTTTAACTAAATTTTTTAACTACTACAGTTTACAGTAAAATTTTTCACATTTCACCTTTCACCAGATCTCAAAGTAAATTTTTCAGTTCTTTAAAGAATAGTTTTATGCATGCTACAGGAAAACTTCTCATCTCTTAAAATACAGAGTCCCTAAATATCTTTGCAAGTTGTTCTAGTGAACTTGAGAAAATATATTCATTAATGCATTATTTGTGGTTAGCACTTCATAGACAAGAGGCAAACAATCCATATTATTGAAAAGAAGCATCTATTTTGCTCCAGGTGCTCTTACAAGAAGAAAATCCTTTCTATTTTTCTGATAAATTCAGACCTTTTTAAAAATGTGGTTTCTTTTTCATGAATTTTAGGATCTCTTAAAATTGGACTTGAGGTGAACTGGACTACTCATTAGCCCCCACCGAGGCAAATGAATGAAGTTTGAGCAGCCTAGTTATATTTTAACCAGGAGCTTTATTTCTTCCTCTCACACTAAGCATAATTTTTCCCAAGTAGTTTGTATTAATAGAATCATTTTGCCAAAAAAAAAAAAGTTTCATTTAATCAAAGCAAAGAGTCACACTGGATAAAATGTCTAAATAGCTATTATTACCATAAACTATGAGTCATTTATTTTAAAAAAAAGATAACTACACATTATTTCATATTTAAATAAGGTTCACTCATAAATTGAAGTGACTGCTTATACTGAATCCACCCATTAATTTAACTGCCAGCACAATTAAGGTGGGATTTTGGGATTTTTCACATTTCAAACTGTACAAGGTCAACAAATGTTAATTTCTACAATGTATCAGAACCCATGCTAAACACAAAAGAATAAAAGAAGAAGAGAGGTGTCAATAAAAGGATACATGAAATTAAGTCCAATTAAAAAAAAAAAAAACAGTAACTGGTATTTCTTTTTTCTTTTTTTGAGACAGGGCCTCACTCTGTCACCCGGGCTGCAGTGCAGTGCCGTAGTATGACCTCTGCTCACTGCAATCTCTGCCTTCCAGGCTCACTCGATCCTCCCACCTCAGCCTCTCAAGTAGCTGGGACCACAAGCACGTGCCACCATGCTGGGCTAATTTTTTTATTTTTTTGTAGAGATGGAGTTTGCCATGTTGCCCAGGCTGGTCCTGAACTCCTGAGCCCAAATGACCCCTCAGCCTCTCAAAGTGCTAGGACTACAGATGTGAGGCACCACACTCATCTGTTAGTATTTTTGTATCATAAGTAACTTTTAATACTTCTCAGATCTATAAAAAAATTAATTGTACAAAAACAGTCTTTTAAAAATCATTATGTAAGTAAAGCTACTAACAAAGAAGAGAATAAAGGAGGTACAGCAAACGCAGGGACATATTGCATTTCCTTTATGTACCAGCGCTATTCCAAATTCTTCACATCTCTCAGACAACAAATCATTAACATTCACTATTTCATTTACCAATAATAAAAAAGAAAAATAAGAAGTTAAATAATCCTCCAATCTCCAAGCAGTTTCACAATTCAAGATCATCAACTGCAGAAACCTTCCACCTTCAAACAGTAATACCGGAAAGCAGGACATGTAATATGTAAATATTCTTTGGACATTGTATTTCCGTGAAAAACAAAAAACAAATAGAACCCTTTAATTGGTCTAAGTGTCATAATAACCGTTTCATTTTTATGACAACCTGTTTTCATTTTATGAAAATAATCAAAGGATAATATAATCCAAAAGCAGAGGTTTCCCCAAACTTGACAGACAACAGCATATGAAAGTAATAGATTGAGACATAAGGGGACTCTATAAAAATTAATAATAGCCTTACAACCACAATTTGGGAAATGGATGTAAACAAAATTTCTGTACTGTAGAAATTCTGTACTACAAGGATTTATAGAACATAATTTCAAAGACATTAATTAAAAGTAAAGTGATTAATATTCATTAACTGTTTATTAACCCATTTATGCCAGAGGGTGCAATTTTTTTAATTTTTGCAGTTACACCTTGGCAATGACCTTGAGCATTAGGAAAGTAATAACTCCTACATTCTTAGCATTCCAATAATGGAACACTAAGCATAGATGGGTTAAATCAAACTGACCATAGTAATAAGTATTCAATCTCTAGGCTGGCATGGTAGCTCACATCTGTAATCCCAGCACTGTGGGAAGCCAAAAGGGAGAAATCACTTGAGCCCAGGAATTCAAAACCAGCTTAGGTATCATGGCGAAACCCCATCTCTACAAAGAAAAATACAAAAATTAGCAGGTGTGGTGGCACGTACCTGTAGTCACAGCTACTCAGTAGGCTGAGGTGGGAAGATTGCTTGAGCCTGGGAGGTCAAGGCTGCAGTGAGCCATGACTGCACCACTGAAGCCTGGACAACAGAGTGAGGCCCTACGTATCTCAAAAAAAAAATATATATATATACACACACACACACACACAATCTGAAGGATCTTCAGGTATTACTGTTAATTTGCTATCTGTTCCCATAACATTGCAATTCTTTGTACATATCTAATATTTGACACTTTTTAAATAATAGTTTCTTTTGTTTTTGGAGATGAAGTTTTGCTCTTGTTGCCCAGGCTGGAGTGCAATGGCATTATCTCAGCTCACTGCAACTTCCGCCTCCTGGGTTCAAGAGATTCACCTGCCTCAGCCTCCCGAGTAGCTGGGATTACAGGCCTGCATCTCCACATCCAGCTAATTTTGTATTTTTAGTAGAGACAGGATTTCTGTTGGTCAGGCTTGTCTCGAACTCCTGGTCCACCCACCTCGGCTTCCCAAAGTGCTGGGATTACAGGTGTGAGCCACTGCACCTGGCCTTAAATAAGTTTCTTTTCCAAGAATATAAGCTCTTTGAGAACAGCAAGCAATATTATTTGTCTTTTTTTTTTCTCAACAGTAGCGAAAAAAAACTCAAGAGTTTAAATGATCTTTCTGAGGTCATAAGACATACTCAAACCTATATATGATTTCAAATGTAATGCTCTCCTTCTTTGCCAAATTGTTCTCCTAACATATTTACACAGTACCAAATCCTTAAAAAGTAATCTGCAGGGCCAACTACCTTGGAAATGTTTACGTTCAGACGTCTAACAGCTGAAGGAAAAGTGCTATCAAAATTATTTTATCTATGCTAAGAATCAGCAGAATACAGTTAAGGTAAAATGTTAATCATTCAGCAGAGTCTGAAAAACAAATAAGAAAACAGAGCCACATGCTTTATTTATAATTCCTATGGATGGCAGCCAGCTACTCATACTGGGTATTCCCTATGTTATTGACTGCATATGACTAAAAGTTAAGATTGACTACACAGGGCAATAACTAGTAACATGGGAATTTGCAAGAAGTTATGACAGTCAGTTACAAAAGACTAATTTTTTAAATTTAGAAACAGTTATAAAATATCCTTCTATTTTGATGTAATTATGCAGAATACTTTACATACTCTTCTTAATGTTTTTGGTTTGTGGATGTGGCTGAATTCCTCCAGCAGGAAGTCCATAAGTGCTTATTCGTTGTACAAGACTTGCTACATTCCCATGCCTTTCCCGTCTGATGGGCAAACTGTCATCTTTGAATTCTGTCTCTCTTTTAATTTCCTACAAAAGGGAAAATAAAAAGGCAAGCTAAGTTACATTTTATTTATACTAAATCCTCAAATGTAAAATATCAAAAAATGGCTACAGGGATTACTATATAAATCATAGTATCAATAGTTTTCAACCTTTGCTATGCTCAAACATATCTGAAGAATAAAACACATTTTAGTAACAGTGACTCATGAGATTAAGTTTTATCAGAACTGGAGAAGAAGATAAAAGAGGCTCAAATCCCACCCCCATTACCCACCCCAACATACAAAGAAACACCGAGATACTGAGATACAAAGAAAAACAAAGTCAGAAGTGGACAAACTTTCTTTAAAGTGTCAGACAGTAAATATTTTACAATTTGCAGGCCACACACTCTGTTGCAACAATCAACACTGTTATATGTGCTATAAATGCAATCATCTATTTAAATGAATGAATATAACTACGTTCCAATAAACTTTACAGACACTAAAATTTTAATTTCAAATAATTTTATATGTCATGATATATTATCCTTTTGATTTTTTCCAACCATTTATAACATTAGCATTCTTAGTTCATGGGTCTTACAAAAACAGGCGGTATTCAGACCTGTCCTGTGGGCTAGTAGTTTGGTGGCCCTTGATCTAAGTCATGGCTATAAAATAAGACATGTGAACCATCATGGAAAAGTATAAAATTTTATTGAAAGACAAGAAGACAAAAACAAAGTTATGCCATGTTCAGTAACTGAAAACTCAGTATCATCAAGATATCAGTTCTCCCTTAAAATTTATGTAATAAATCATGCAATTGAAGTATATAAAAAATTTGGAGTAGCAATTTAATAACCTGTTTCTAAATTTATACAGAACAAAAGGCTAAGACCAGTGAAAATGCTTCAAGGAAAAGAAGGAGAAGGGACTTTTTGTTAACCAAAATACAAAGGAAAACCATAACAATATAAACAGACAATGTGCTACTGGCATAAAGACAGACATACAGATAAATGAAACAAAATAGAGAATCCATAAACAGACAAACTTAATTTAAAACAGAAAAAGTGAGGAAAGATGAAATCTTAAAATACATTGTGCATGAAAATCTAATGTTCCATATTTAATAGGAAATGAAACTGGATACCTGCCTCACTTATTTCATATTAAAATTAACAATTTTAACTTGATATAGCAAGTATTTTATATAAATGTGTAATATATATTATAATATATATATATATATATACCCCCCACCACCAGACAAGGTCTTCCTCTGTTACTCTCAGGTTGGAGTGCAGTGATGTGATCACAGCTTACTATACCATCAACCTCCTGGGCTCAAGTGATCCTCGCACCTCACCTCCCAAAGTACTAGGATTAATTATAGGAGTAAGCCATGGTGACCAACCAAGTATACTTTTTTTAACTTTTACAACAGAACACTTCTATCTCAAGTTCATAAATTCTTATGATGATTATAAAAGTACTGCAGATCGCTTTAAATGTATCTTGTGAAAAGGATTCTTAAAAAACATACTTCAAATACTTGAGAACTGATAATCTGCTAGTTTTTTAATACAATGCAAAAGTACTGTAATTATTAATAACTATTTTTTTTAAATCAATGTGGAACAGGAAAGAATACTGGTAACCTATCCGTTTCCAAGATTTGAGAGTTGTGCAGTGCCCAAAAGGTGTACACATTTCATTAGTAATAATTGTAATTAAGAATAAAGTTTTTTTCTTTCAGTTTCTGTGTATTGTTTTTAAATGGCTAACTTGTTAAAATATAAACACTTATTATTAAGTTTCTTGAATTCAACAGTAAGTACAACTCTTAGGTCTTTCTTTTGGTGTAGGAGCATCATGAAATAATGATAGAGACAATAACGGTGTTGTGTAAACCAAGAAAGGTTGGGAATCTCTGGCACAGCAACTGAAAATGAGAATTCTTAAAGAAATTTTTTACTCGTAAAAGCTGATTATCTTAGTATTATACCAAAAAACACATTTTTGGGGTAGAGATATGATCATGCCGTGTTGCCCAGGTTGGTCTTTAGCTCCTGAGCTCAAACGATCCTTCCTCCTTAGTCTCCCAGAGTGCTGGTACTAGTTTTGCCCAGCAAAACCCACAAATTTTAAAGTAACATTCAGTTATACGTTTAAAAGATAAAAATGCAATTACTTTGTAAATAGAGAAACAATATATAACCACAAATACCAAACTAAATAAGACACTGAATGAATACTACTCCTTAATAAAACTCATGGTTCAGTATCACTGAAGTAAATTTATATTTGTGCTACTTGAAACAGTATCACCTTTCTTCTCTTTAGTACTTCCATAAATACTTATTGAGCACCTACTAATACTAGGCAGCAGCTAGGCATACAAATATTAACAACAGACTGTCTTCTGTTCTCACAGTACTGTACACTTTACAAAAGATTACAGAACATAATCAGGCAGTTAAAATTCAGTGTAATAAATATCCAAAAACTGATTATCTTAGTATGATATCAAAAACAATCCAAACATCCAACAACAAATGAATAAACAATGGAATACTAAGCAGTAAGAATGAAGACATTGAGACACAAAAACATCCATGAATTTCTAATTCTGATTGAAAAAAGCCAGACACAAAATATATGCAGTACATTAAAACTCTTAGAAAATATGAGACAGAGATCCAAGATGGCCGTTAAGCAGTAGCTCAGGGTTGCAGCTCCCAGTGAAGGTGCAGGGAGAAAGTGGACGCCAGACTTCCAGACCAGTTTTTACTGCTTATGGACCAGGAGATTCCCAGCGGAGGAGCCCCACAGGTCGCCAGCGTGACTCTTTTGGCCGGCGCGGCTGTTTTGCCAGCATCCAGGCGCAGCAGTTCTCAGTGATGAGTATGCAGGACTGGGTGCCCTTTTAGTTGGCATTTGAAGCTCTGAGAAGGCAGAGTCACCCGTTCAGCTGATCGGGAGGGGGACTGAAGTCAGGAGCCAGACCGGGAGACTCCTGGACAGAAAACCGCCACGAATCTCAGTGCCGCCGTTTCAGCCGGCACAGTTGCCACACCAGAAATTGCATATATCCTGGCACCTTTTCAGTGGGCGACTGGGGCACCTGGGAGACAACCGATGGTTCAATTAGGAAAAGAAAAAAAGGGGGCTCCCAGGCAGGGAGCCAGGAGATCGGGCTCGGCTGGTCCCACCCCCACAAAAAAACAGCAATTGGAAACACTGATGGTTGAGAGTTTCACAGCAAGCACAGCTGAACCCAGGAAGGTCCAGCTCGGTGGGGGAGGGGCGTCCACCAAAGGAAAACAAAGAAACAGAAACAACATCACCACCAACAAGCTGGACATCCACTCAGAGACCCACTCTGAAAGTCAGCAATTACAAGCACAACAGGTGGATAAATCCACAAAGATGGGAAGAAACCAGTGCAAAAAGGCTGAAAACATCCAAAATCAGAATGCCTCTCCTCCTTCAGGAAATTACAGCTCCTCATCAGCAGGAGAACAAGGCCTGATGGAGAATGAGTGTGATGAATTATCAGAATCAGGCTTCAGAAGTTGGATAATAAGAAACTTCTGTGAGCTAAAAAAACACGTTCTAACCCAATGCAAAGAAACTAAGAACCTTGAAAAAAGGTTTGACGAAATGCTAACGAGAATAGACAATTTAGAGAAGTATATAAGTGAATTAATGAAACTGAAAAACAACACCAGAACTTCATGAAGTATGCACAAGTTTTAACAGTCAAATTGGTCAAGCAGAAGAAAGGATATCAGAGGTTGAAGACCAACTCAATGAAATAAATTGAGAAGACAAGATTAGAGAAAAAAGGATAAAAAGAAATGAGCAAAGTCTCCAAGAAATATGGACTATGTAAAAAGACCTAATCTACGTTTGTTAGGTATACCTGAATGTGACGAAGAGAATGAATCCAAGCTGGAAAATATTCTTCAGGATATTATTCAGGAAAACTTCCCCAACCTAGTAAGGCAGGACAATACTCAACTCCAGGTAATACAGAGAACACCACAAAGATATTCCTCAAGAAGAGCAACACCAAAGCACATAATCGTCAGATTCACCAGGGTTTAAATGAAGGAGAAAATGCTAAGGGCAGCCAGAGAGAAAGGTCAGGTTACCCACAAAGCCTATCAGACTCACAGCAGATCTCTCAGCAGAAACCCTAGAAACCAGAAGAGAGTGGGGGCCAATATTCAGCATCCTTAAAGAACTTTCAACCCAGAATTTCATATCCAGCCAAACTAAGCTTCACAAGCGAAGGAAAAATAAAATCTTTTGTGAACAAGCAAGTACTTAGAGATGTCATCACCACCAGGCCTGCTTTACAAGAGCTTCTGAAAGAAGTACTACACATAGAAAGGAACAACCAGTATCAGCCTTTCCAAAAATATACCAAAAAGTAAAGAACATCAACATAATGAAGAATTACATCAACTAATGGGCAAAACAGCCAGCTAGCATCAAATGGCAGTATTAAACTCACAAATTATTATTATTATTTTTTTTTTTTTGAGACGGAGTTTTGCTCTTGTTACCCAGGCTGGAGTGCAATGGCGCAATCTCGGCTCACCGCAACCTCCGCCTCCTGGGTTCAGGCAATTCTCCTGCCTCAGCCTCCCGAGTAACTGGGATTACACGCACCACCATGCCCAGCTAATTTTTTGTATTTTTAGTAGAGACGGGGTTTCACCATGTTGACCAGGATGGTCTCGATCTCTCGACCTCGTGATCCACCCGTCTCGGCCTCCCAAAGTGCTGGGATTACAGGGTTGAGCCACCGCGCCTGGCCCACATATATTATTATTAATCCTAAATCCCCCAATAAAAAGACACACACTGGCAAAATGGATAAAAAGCCAACACCCATCGGTATGCTGCATCCAGACCCATCTCACATGCAAGGATACACAGAGACTCAAAACAAAAGGATGGAGGAAGATTTACCAACCAAATGGAGAGCAAAAATAAATAAATAAATAAATAAAAAGCAGGAGT